TCCATTTCTCTCATTAAGGAGAATTAATGAAGACATTGTTAAAGAAATGTATTTCCATTTTCTGTTTCCACTAATTAGTCCCAAATATGCTGAGATTTCTGTTACCGGTGTCGTTTCTCTAACGCTCTGTACCAATGAACTGAGCTATCAATAGAACATCCATTCTTTGCCAACTGCTTTATAGTTGAAAATGTTGAATCTTAGCTTGTTTCTTCACGTTACATCCAGAACATTGGAAGAGCTCTTTGGCAGGCTCCTGCTGGGCTCAGCTCCCGTTCCCTGACTTCTCTCCAGAGCAGTAAGAATGGAAATAAGCAGCTCAGAATTTTCCAGTTCAGATCAGGCTCTGTGTGTGTTAAGAGAAACAGAAGCACAACCACAAGCACAGAGCAGACCCTTGATGTAGGCAGGCTGCAGCAGAAAGCAGAACTTCACCAGCTGAAGCTGCCAAAAGCCATCCCACGTCAGCTGCAGACATCCATGCACAGCGCTTCTCCTGCTGCAGAGATGCAGTGACACAGGTGTGCCACCAACCAGTCCCTGCTGTCACAGATCTGTGATAGGTGGCCTAAAAGCAGCTTCAGTCGTCTCTTTGTGGTGCTTTCACTCTCAAGTAGTACTGTGCATAGGAAGCAATCTGGGACACCATGGTGGAGAGAAACACTTCTTCTCTTTACTTTCTTTCAATGGGTTCCTTGGCTTCTGTTGTGGAGCTGCTTTAGTGAAGCACTGAGATCAGAGAATTGGTGCATAATGTTCATTTTAATGGGTGCTTTTTTTTTTTTTGCCCCCTGACAAATCCTGAAGAGATGCTCCAGAACAACCATTATTGAGGGGGAGGGGAAACCCTGCATACTGAGAAGCTGAGGATTATACTGTGCTACAGAGAATATGAGCTGGGAAAATGTAGAGGCAGAGAAGGGGGTAAAGGAAAAAAAAAGATTGATTCCTGATGTCTCTTTGAGGAGCAGAGTCCAACTCTTCCAGAAGTTAGTGGGAATCTTTCCAGCTCTTTCATGTGAGTGGGGCCAGGTCCTGGCAGTGGCACCACGTGGAGCTGAAGCTGGCCATGTGCCATCACACTGCAGGTAAGGGATGGAGCTGCAGCAAAGCTCTCACGTGTGATAAGGACAAGAAAAGATGGAAGTGCACGGCTCTTCACCTTCTGATTTGAAAATCTGGAGGGTGAATGGACGGAATCTTACCACTCTATTTACGTCTACCTCATGGGGGCTAAAGTCAGGAAGGTGACAGCAAAGAAGATGAAGAGTGGATTGGTCTCAGCTGTGCACACAGGTGAGGATCTCGGCGTGGAGCACTGAGCTCTGGTTCCTGGAAGTACTGTGCCCCATGGGCACCGGGTGCTTTGTTACTAACCAGCTTTCATTCCTGTCTTTTACCCATTTTTCAGCGTTTCCTAGGATGCAGACACATTTCCAGATATTTTATACTAACTGAAAAGTGTGTTTTCATAGTGTGAGACCTCCCTACTTCTAGCATTTTTTCTGTCTGAAATTAGATTCTCGGCCTTGAAAGCACTGTTTGCACTTTGACTGCAGTCTTTCAAACGCTTAGCATCCAAATGTGCCATTTGTATACATACTAAAAACTCAAGCTCTTGGACGCTTCTAAAAGGACAACACTCAAGTTATAAACACTCCCTCATGAGCTTCTTCTCTCAGATGTATAAGTGAACATTCTCCTTAAATAGTAACACCGTGAGCTGCAGTGTGAGCTGTGGTAGGAATGGCTCTGCAGTGAAATGATGCTGCAGAGGTCGGTCCCTCTGAGCCACATCCTGTTTTCAGTTAACTGATCTCATATGGGGGAAATTTGTCAGAGGAAATATATCTAGTTTGGAAAGTACCAAAAACTTATCTCTCGTTTCTTTGTGTAATTCAGCACCTATTGAGATTGAGGTGTCATATTTTCGAGAACTCTTGAGGCAGAAGTGGAGGAGCAAGCTGGCAGCCTGGATGGGTGGCCTGGAAGGTGACAGCACGCAGCGTCCCTTCAGCCCCAAACCAAAACTCCTCATTGGTACAGCAGCAATCTTCCTGAAATTATCAACTTCCAAAAACTTACAATTGCTTCATCCAGAACTGCTTTTAGAACCTCTTGAAAAATGACCTCACTTCCTGGCAGAAATGCTCTCTGCCAGAATAACTTGCTATGACTTCTCACAGCTCATTATAAAGCAATGACAGCGAATGTCTGAAGCCATACCAGCTCAGGCAGACCACAGTGTCCTCGTAGATTCTTAGCTCTGTACTCAGAGCATCCACAAATCTATGTGTAGCACAGAGAAGTAGAGAGAAGTGGAGATCAAGAGACAATACATGATTCTGTAAGGCAAGCCTTCTGCTCCTGCAGGTGGAGTTAACTGGAAACCTCAGAAGTAGCTAATAAAACTGACACACTGCTCCTCTTCTACAAGATTGTCACCAGCTCTTGCTCACACCGTTGCTCTCACAGAGGCTGTGTGTGCAGGTAATACGACTGCAGCACAGAGCACGTGTGCTCCCATCTGCTTGTGCTGGAACAACACTGCTGAGCTGCCGCTGGTGCTTTTCACTGCTGAGATGGTGGTGTTTTGCCAAAGGGAAAAAACGCTGTTCCCTCTTTGCAGTGAGGGAGGTGGAAGCATTCAGTGAGTTTGTGGTTCACCCAAATGCTCTTGTGATGTAGGGCAGTAAGCCAGATGAGTGCCCTAAAGCTGACCTGTGGCAATAGGCTCCATCCGACTCAACTTTCCTTTTCTCTACAGTGACGCTTTCCTCTGCATCATCATTTCTTACCTGTTAAAACCTTCAGGAAAAAGAAAAAAAAAAGAGAAAAAAACACACATTGCTTGCCAAAGGCAGTCTAACCCAAAGGCATGTAATTAAAGGGCCTCTGGCAAAGCGAAGGACCAAATTCTTGATCCTTCAGTCTTGCGTAGTGGTTCCGTGGTCTACAGGGTGCGGCTGTGGAAAGACACTGCCTGTGCAGCAAAGGAGCTGAAGGAGGGGTGAGAGCTGCAGAAGGAAGAGCCCAAAACGGTGAAGGAGCCGGAGCAGTTACCTGCTTATGTAAAGATGCTTCTGTGTTGTGCAGATGTTTTTAATAGTGCCTGTTGTCTGCAAGGCTGCCTTGTTCCTAGAAGCTCCCTCCTTCCAATCTGTGATTTAATACAGCTCTAATCAGTTTGGTAATCTGTAATTGTGGCAAGAGGGCAATCAGCCCATGTGACAGCAGCACGCGTGGCACTGTTATCTGAGCAAACACAGCCCAGAAGCTGTCAGACACTCAGTGATAACCAAGCACAGTGCGGTGCTGGCACACTGTACTTGGCTATGAACGCCAGTGAGCGTTGCAGACTAACAAACCAATGGAAGCAGCTAGGGCACGACCTCTTCATGTTCAATTTCCTGCTGGGACACCCCCAGCAGTATTCCCCACGTGTCTTTCACCGGGAAGAACGAACAGATTTGCATCTGAAACACTCTTCTTACCGAACCCCGGGCGCCGCGGTTGCAGCACATGATTTCACAGCAAACCCGCCTTATCCCGAGAGCGAAACTTCAGCTCCCAAAGGCCCCGCAGCGCTGCGTGCACCCCGGCAGCACGTGCACGCGCCTGGCGCCGGGACCGCAAAGGCCGCAGGGCCGATAGCAAAGCCGGGCGTTCCGGTTACGGCTGGGCGCTCGGGCACGGGGCGGTTTTCTCTCCGACGATGCTCCGAGCGACCGGGCGGCGCCGCACCGACCCCGGGACGTAACGGCATCACCGCGTTATCCGCCGGCCCGCCGAGCCCTGCGCCCGCCCCGGGCCGCCGCTCCCCCAAACCGATCCCGGCCCCGCCCCCCCGGGAGCCCAAGGCCGCTCCTCCGCTCCCCGCGGCGCTGCGCCTCTCCGTGCCGCCTCGGCGTGCTGAGGTAAGGGGAGCGGGGGGAGGCCCCGCCTCGTGCCGGCCCCGCCGGGGCTCCGGGGGCGGTGCGGCGCTCCTCGGAGCCGCCGCTTGGATCCCGTCCGCCCCGCTCGGGGCCGCCCCGCCGTGCCGCGCTGCCCTGCCGGGCTCCTCTCCGGCCTGGGCCGCTCGTGGATGTGCTGGTCCCGTCCCGTCCCGTCCCGCACGCGCAGCGCGCCCACACGCGGTTTGCAGCACGGCTCCGTTCCGCTGTTCCCGGGCTCGGGCAGCTCGCGGTGCGCCGCTGCCCGTTGGGTTTTCATCTTGCGGCTCTCGGCAGGACCGACGGGCCCTGCGCTCGTCGCTGACTTCCCTTGGGTACCGAGCGAGCGGCCTGAACCGCAAGGCAGAAAACGCTGCTGAAAGGGGTGTTTAAAATCCCGGGGGTGCCCAGCAGCCCGTGTCCCGGTCCCACCGCTTTCCGTCCCTCGGCCGGCCCGCGGACCCGATGGCACGGATGTCCGTGTGCGCTGCGGTGCTCGGAGGCGAGCTGCGGGCTCCTCACACGCCGGGCTGCTGCTCACAGGGCCGCAGCTGCCGTCCCACCTCAGCCTCTCACCGCATCTGCTGTGTGCCCCAGTACTGCAACACGGACATGGGGTACCTCCACCGACAGCAGTGCGAGCATTTCTGAGCAACAGTGAGACCCCCAGAGTCAGTTCTGGGTGCGTTCCCAGCGGTGTTCCATTGCTCTCATTAACCAGAAGCCGTGCTGAACGTGCCTTGCACCTTTTCGCACGAGGCACTCGGTGCTTTTGGAGGCCTTGAGGTTCCCTTTCTTCGTGTTGCTGGATATGTTATGGCTTCAGGAAGGTCACTGTCAGCACACCTGTTGTTCAATTTCTGTGCCTATAAAGTGTAATCCCAAATTTTGGCCCCTGGAAATGGAAGATTGTTGGGGATTTACTGTACAGGAAATAATTCTGTGTGTTGTGAACCGCTGGGATTGTGGCTCTGAAATGAAAGAACCATTTACTTCATCTTTCTATGAACTCAAACATGAGCAGAAAACCCCAGAGCTTCATTTTAGCGTGTTGTCCATTCTCACATTGTGCTCGAGGGAAATTTTACATCTGCACAGTAATTTCCTGCAGGTCTCTCGTCAGACCTGCTGTGACATTTAGTCATGCACGTCAGCTGCACATTCAGTCCAACAGATCACTATGACGACTGCACTGCTTCGGGGCTGTGCTGTGGCCTTGTGGTGCCGATGTGCTCCCTCCCAAGGCAGTGAGCAGCACCCATTTCTCTCCCCTGCTCTCCTCTTTGCCAGCAGCTCCCTTCAGATGGCTGAGAAGGCAAGCAGCGGCCCGCAAGATATCCCCAGCTCTTCTCCTGATGAAAACGAGTTTCCTTTCGGATATCCCACCAGCATCTGTGAAGATGTGCCCCAGCAGAAGTACCTGTGCAGCAACTGCAACAACGTTCTGAAGAAAGCCCTGCAGACGCTCTGCGGGCACAGATACTGCTCTGCCTGCCTGTCCTGGATTGTCCGGTAGGTCCTGACCGCAAAGCTGGCACTGCTGTGTGCTCAGTAGGTGTTGCTGCTTTCAGTACATCTGCCCTGCAGGTGGGCAGTGAAGTTGCAGCAGCAATCGCTGTGTGAGCTGATGGTAGCCTTGGTGTTTGGAAAGCAGCAGCGGTCAAGGTTCAGTGGCAGGGTTCTAGCACTGCTTCAGTAGCTTCCAGCTTTATTTTTCCTGATCCAGGCTGCTCTCGCTTTGCTGAAATACAGGTAGGATTGATGGCCTTGAGGAATAAGACCCAGTCTTGAAACCAAGCATTTATTTGCTTGGTTCGCTTCGTTATGTTTTTGTTGGTGGTTCTTGTTATTTATTAATTTATTTTACTTCAATGTCTTCAATAATTGGACCTTTCGTGGGCAAAGACTGTGGATTCCGAGTGGAAATTACGTCCATGTTTTAATTTATTTTAGTGTATATGCAAAGATCCCCTGAACTCCAGTTCAATAATCCTTTGTTATTTTGCTCTTCTTTTTCCAGGAACAATAAAAATCCAGTTTGCCAGAAATGTAAAGAGGAGGATCCCAGCACTCTGAGTGAAGGAAGCCTATTGGCAGAGGAAAGGGTGAGTTGTGGTTCACAGTTCAGTCATGTATCGCTTACTGTTCTCTGGTCTGCTCTGCAGAGCTCTCTTCTGCTGCTGTGTGGTTTCTCCAGGCAGATCACTGCACTGTTCTGTGTCCTGAGCACACACACAGCGCTCATTCCCAGCTCAGCTTCTTCCTTTCTTTCTGACTACGTGCAGGAGCACCAAGACATACCCGTTCTGTGTACATTTGTTAGGCAAGAATGAAACCCAAGAGTCAGCTGGCAGCGAGGAAGAAGGCAAAATATAGAATGTGGCTGCACCAAAGTAATGAATCTGCAGTTAACACTGAAGATCTCAGAAAAAAAAATAATCCTTAATTCTGCAATAAATTTCCCAGTAACAATTTCAGGCATCCTCGAACCACGGATGGGTGCAGCTAACCTCTTGTGGAAGTCTTACTGAGCGTTGGCTGTCGGTTCTTTTACAACATTTGGATTCTCATGGGTCTTCTGGGACCTCCTGCAGTCTGTGGGTGGGTGGAGGTGCTGGGTGAGCTGATCTGCACAGGCAGGTTCTTGCTGGGAAGTCTTCACCACAAAGGCACGATGATCTGCCTGTGGACCCATCCAGAACAAAGGGTCTGGGCTTTGTAAACAGCATGACTAACAAAGGCTGCATAGCAGGTTTGTTCTTGGCTCCGTATCTTTTCCTGATAATCTCTGCTTCACCTTTGCTGCGGTTTTGATTCATGTTTATTCCCTCTGCTATCTGATTATATGTTTATATTTTAAATAAGGTACTTACACTGGAGGAACAAAAGGCCCTATCAGGATATGTGTTTGATTATCTTATCCCTTGACCAGCTTCTGTGGTAGCTTCCATCCCTTCCCTGCTAGACTCTGATTTACCAACCATTGATGTACTGTAGGTGCTTCAAGTCTTGCCACAGTGCTGTTCATCAGGATTTCAGTGCCTTTATTTAAGTGTGGACATGATTGGTAAATACTTTTCCCTCCTTTCATTGTAAAGACTCCCTCCAGCCTCCAACTTCCTGACTCACTTCTGTGTTAGGAAATCTGCTGTCATCTGCATTGTGTTCTTATTACTGTCTTGTTCCTGTGCCAGTGTAAAATGCAACATTAAAAGTGTGCAGGGTTTGTTCATTTGCAGAATAATTGTACAATTCTTGGTGGTTGCTATAGGAAAAAAGATCTATGCAGTCAAAAAACATCTGCCACATGGTTTACATTTTGTGAGTACACAGCACTGTGTTAAATGGAAACAGCCCTTATCTGGGAAGCTTAGGCTCACTGAAGTCTCAATCCTCTCCGCTGCACTTCAGGAGGTGTTAATGACCCCAATAATTAAATACTTCCATTATAGAGTCTGCATAGCAGCACCCTCAGGATCACCTCAGCACATCCACTGCACATGATGTGTGTCAGATTTCTGTGAAGAGGAACTCAGAGCAATAGCTGTTCTGTTGGGCATATTGGCAGTAAATACAGATGGCATCAAATGGTTTATTTTTGAGTCATAACCATGAAGTGATTTGATAATTATTTGACTCTTACCAACACCAAAATACTTGCTAAGTCAAACAAATCTTGACACAGTCACTGAACTCCTGTCCCAGGAATGCATGCTGACCAGGGTTTTTCCTTCCTGCGTTTGCTTTCCAGGCCTTTGGGGATGCTGCCATTAACAAGGAGATTTCTGAGCTCAGAGTGCACTGTGTGACCCTTGGATGCAGTTGGTGTGGTACCATGAAAAACTTCGAAGTACGTTTGCATTTCCAGCTCACTGTTCTCAATACCATGGAGTCACAGACCATGGAATGGCTGAGGGTGGGAGGGACCTCGCAGCCCCCCCAAAACCTTCCCTACAGCCCCCTGTGAGGGCTGCCTGCCCCACAGCTCACCCTGCAGGGCCCATCTGTGGGGCACACACAGCTCTGGGCAGTGCCAGGGCCTCAGCCCCTAAGGGAAGAACTGTTTTTCTGTTGGAGTGTTGGCCTCTTTAAGACAAACCTACCTGGTTTGCTCTGTGTTGTAAATTTGAGAATGGGAGCCCCTCTCGGCAACGGTGTTGTGGCAAAAGGGATTTGAGAGCTGAGCGTGTGATGGAAATTGGCATTTCTGAGGCATTTCTTAGGGGACAGGCATCTCCTTCTGAAGACAAATTCAGCTGTGACACAGCACCCACAGAAGCTTCAGTAGAAGAGGCTGGGAGAAACATTTTCAGTTCAATATTGTGTTTGTGTGGCAGCAGAGCTGTTGGACATTGCCATGGGAGAAATCATGCTGATGTTTTTTCCTTGGCGAGATGAGAAAGTGCAAACAGTGAGAAGGGAGTGTTGTAGAAGTCATTCTGAAGGTGGGTGAGAGATGCACCCTGACTGCTGCACGGAGGCTCGATGGCTCTGCCCCCCTCTGGGGCTGTGCAGGGATGTCAGCACACTGACTGCACTCATCCTGCCGGTCCGAGCAGCATTGAGCTGCTGTTGGAATTAATCACAAGTTGTGTGGGCTTTGTCTTTTTTTTTTTCTTCTTTCATGTGATTGTTTGCTTAAGTTAAAAATCATCAGAAAAAAAAAAACCAAAAACAAAGCAGGAAAGACTGTGGATTTTTCAACAGTAATTTTGGTATCACTGCAGAGTGGGTCACTACCCAAGGTTAGAAGAGATGCAAACAACACTGCAGGGATGGGTGCTGTTTACAGACGAGTGTTTATCTGCGGTTTAAGTTAGGGTTTGTAACTTCTGGCTTCCAGGAGCATCAGATTCTGTGTGAATATGCTTTGATCCCTTGTCACACTGGCTGTGGGCACGTGGTGATGAGGAAGAAACTTGCAGATCATTTGGAAAACGGATGTGTGAATAACATGACCGTGTGTCACAAGTGTAAGCAGAGCTCATCCAGCAGCGAGTACCAAGTAAGAACGTTCATTGGTTTCAAATAAGGGTTCTGTTTGAATGGCTTAACTACTTTATCATCATGTTTTTCATCCCGATTTGCTGACTGCTGTTGCATGAGAAGTACCTTTCGTTTCTCAAGCTTTGCTAATTTCTCCATGCTCATCTTGACATTTTAAAAGTTGCTCTTTGTTTTCCCTCGTTCTGAAGCAGCAAAGTGGTGCAGATGGTGGCAGTGCTCCAAGGACACAAAGTGAGCAAATAGAAACTGCTCTAGAATAGAAACGGTGTGCTGGGGCAGCTGTAAAGTGATAGAAAATGATGTTCTTATGTGAATGGATTGGTATTTTAGATAGATAAGAGATGCTTGTATGAAGATACAGCAGCAGTGAGCCACTGCTCTCATTCTCCCCACCTTTACCAATCAGTCACTGGTCTCATACCTGCTCATACCTGAAATAAACCTCCTCCAGCCCCACTGCCCCAGGAAACCAAAGATCTGAAGGAGAGAACCAGCAGTGAGTAAGAAAATAAACACACACATTGTGCAATCACTCAGATGCACAGCATTCAAAGTGAGTTCGAGGGAGGAAAAAAAACTGTGGTGTTGTTTCTGGGGATCGAAAGAGAAACTTCAGAACTGAAGGTGAAATGACTTTATAAAATTCCACACTGCTCTAGGAAATGTGCCGGCACGCAAGGGCATTTCTTAAGATCAAAACCACCCCTGTGTGGTTTGAGTTGAAAGCTGACAGTTGCTGTGTTAAATGCACAAGTTGCAGCAGTAGTGTGAACCAAAGGCAGAATTATTTTCATCTCCTCGCAGCCAGGAAAGACAGGAAGTCTGATGTTAGCTCTGATGCATTCTGCATTAGCAAGTCGTGATGGAACATTTGGATTCCTGCCTTCAAAACGCAGGATATTATGTGCAAAATAATCAGGATCCAAGAAATGTCTGCACGTGGGACAAACTGTATGAAGCCAGTTTATTTTTGGGTTTCTGTTTATTCGCTCCCTGTTCCGTTACCCACCTACATTCACTGTGTGTGTATGTGTGCACACAGTGCTCGTACTACAGTTTGAGCTGAGCAAGACCTTTACATTGTCAGTCTTGTGTCAAACTTTGCAGGATGACTTTGCAAAGCATCTGTAAGCAGTTTTCAGAAGCTTGATGCCCTGTAAGTGTCAGATCAGAGTTGGAACTTTCATTGACTGGCATTGCATCTGAAGCTCTGTCACTGAACCGACCTGCTGGGCTGGGAGGAGGAGCTGTTGGCTTGGAAGCTTAGCTTGAGAAACCCCCCCAGTCTGTCCCTGTACAGCCAACTGCTTGGGAGGGTACAGCAGCTCCTGCCTTTAACAGATGTGCCTTAGTCCCAAATTTCTGAACGTTATCCTGTCTGTGAAGAAGCCTGAAAACACTTCAGTGTTGAATAGTGAGGTCAGTAGCAGTCATTCTCTGGACGTGTCTTGTGGAGCTTGTTGTGCTGTAGTGATCCTTCCTTTATTTTCCTCAAATCTATACCTTCTAGGAAGGAAGCAGGAGACTTGCACAGAATGTAGTGCATAAAAGCCCCTCTAAACTTCAACTGCCTGTGAAGGGGGAGTAGCACTCCCAAAGAGAAGCTGTGTTTCAAAGACCCTTCAGTAAAGATGCTCGGGCATTTTACTGATGTACTCAGTTCCTTTCTTCTTGTTTTAATGACAGAAACATTCATGTGAAGGCAATTTATATAGAGAGCAGAAGCATGTGCAAGCAGAAACACCATCAAACGAAAAGGTGGGTAAAAGATGAGTAAATACAGTACAGTTTTATTTCAACTCGTGAAATAAAATCTTCATGTAGGTGAGATGATCACCTGAGAACATCTTCAGATGTGACATTTGTATCTGGGTGCTTTTTCCATCCTGGCATAGCTCTCTTGAATGGCTTCACTTTGCTGCTCCCCAGTTAATTTATTAAATCAGCCTATTTGTTTGTAGGTAAATAAAAGAATCCCTGGAAGCTGCTATTTGATTATTTTCTCACTTTTCCAATTCTTTTTCCCCAGCAGAACCATTCTGGGCTCTCAGGCAGCACGGATGGATGTCGGTTTTCTGAGGTTGGCTGTTCCTTTGGGGTAAGTGAAAGTGCTGCCTTCCAGAGCACAGCTCCATCCTGTGCCTGTGGCCTCACCAGGGCAGCAGGCCTTGATTTCAATGTGTCTTTAAAGAAAGAAAGAGCTGTACCCATTTTTAGTAGACCAGGAGAGGTGATGTTGGAGCTGCCATGGCTACCGGGTGCGTGTAAGGTGCAGTTTGCTCTGTGTTGTGGCTTTATTTGGCCCCATGATATTTGTATGGAGAATGTATTAACCATATCTTCTTACAGGGCAGCAAAGAGGTGATAAAGGAGCATGAAAAAGCTGCAGTTGGGACTCACATGCTGCTTCTGCTGCAGTACGTAAAGCAACTGAAGGCAAACCTGAGCACTGCTTCCAAAGGTGCAAATGGTTTCATCCCACAGACAGAACTGAATGTGAATGGTGCAGAAAAAAGCATCTCTGATCTGTGCATCCCAGGCAGTCTGCAAATCAATGGGGATCTGGAAGCAGACTGTTTAACCAGAACTTCTGTTCCCAGAGATGAATCTATCGTACAGCAGCTAGTGAGGGAGAAGGTGATTTCTGAGCTTGAAAATAAGCTACATGTGTTTGAGAATATTGTGGCAGTGCTCAATAAAGAAGTGGAGGCCTCCAACTTGGAAATCACAGCGTTTCGGAGGCAGAGTGAACTTGATCAAAATATAATACGAGGCCTTGAACTGAAGGTAAATATTTATGACCAGAATTGGATTTGTTCTTGCTGTGTAGATAGCAAGTACTTACACATATCAGAGAGAGGTGCTGGAGAGATGGGGATGGAGATGAGCACAGGCACTGAGGCACTGAGGCTGTGCAGGGTTGTGTTCTGGACACATCAGCAGGATCCTTCTCTTGTTTTGGATGTTTTTTTCGGATGAGCATCTCTAATATTTGCTCTCTGAAACCACCTTTAGGCACATGTACTAAATGTACATGTACTGCCTTGTGCATTAAGAATGTGCCAAAAGAAATCAGAGGAGACCCCCAAGGATGTGAGGACCTGGGAACGATTCTGCTGCTTCTGCAGTGCGTGGGGATGGAGTTGGCTGAGAACTGTTTTGTTTTTCCTCCTAGATTGCAGAGTTGCACTGCTGCCTGACCCAGAAGGACGCAGGCCTGAGCAGGCTCCATAAGAGCCTTCTGTTCTCTGAGCAAACTTCCTACGATGGGGTCTTTTTGTGGAAGATCACAGATGTTAGCCAGAAGCTACAGGACTCAGTGACGGGCAGAGCAGTCAGTCTGTACTCACCAGGTAAACACAGCAGACAGAGTGAGCACATCTCCATCCTTTAGGATGCACTGATTTCTCTAGAATGATGCTTCTTTCTGCTCTGGATGGGAGGTGCTTTAAAATAGTTCCCTGAGCTAAGGTGCTGTTTGTGTGAAGGCGTTTTGCTCTCCTGCCTGTTACTCAGGGCAGCTGTGCTGTGCTCTGCCACAGAGCTGTGTTCTCCTCTGGACTTTCGTTTTGCAATTTGCCCTCTGCTGCAGCTACTTGCAGTGACATCTGCTGGATCTGCGTTGTCTAACCCCCAGCCTTGGCTCTTGGTGGTGCTGAATGGTCTCCTGCTGCAGTTATCTCCTGTGTGAGAAGTGATTTAATTAGGGAAAATATCCTTATGTGGCTAATAACAGGTATTTTTTACCAAGGTATGAGGGATCAGAAGGATTCCAGCCACTGTATTCTCCCTGTTTATTTTCTGTACTGACCTGTTGTTCTCCTCATCTCTGTGGCACCGAATTTGGCACAAGTCTTTCTGTAATATGTATATGTAATATAACACTCATTTTGCCTTATTTGCAGAGGAGGCTTTACTAATGAAGCATTCTGATTTTCAGCGTTCTACACTGCAAAGTATGGCTACAAGGTGTGCCTGAGGATTTATCTGAATGGGGATGGGATGGGAAAAGGAACCCACATATCCCTCTTCTTTGTTGTCATGAAAGGAGACTACGATGCTCTGCTCCCGTGGCCTTTCAGGCACAAGGTAAAAAGGGCAGCATTTCACATCTGATCCAAGCTTACTCCTTCTGCTTTTGGCAGGGGACTCAGGTGAATATGACAGTGGAGGAGGGAGTGTTTTCTCATGTTCTTGCATGATGACTTATGCACCATGCTCTATGCTTGGGTCACAATTTATCTCTGAAGTTTTTAAGTACAATCTGATAATGCAGCAATGGTGGAACAGTGAAAGTATGCACAGGTTCTGATCTCTCTGTTTAGCATCTGCCTTCCAGTGGGAGTGATTCTGTAAGCCTTTCATGCAGATGATCTTACTGCTGTTTAGCAGCCAAAAAGTAGTAATCAAAGTTCTCAATCCTCACTGCATTAAAAAAGTTCATCTGTATTTGACGTTTCAAACCCAGGAACAGCGGGTTAATAAAAGTGATACTAAAATGGAGTCATTCTATAGGTTTTGTCTTCTATATGTGCATGCAGACAGTGAAGCTGTTTTGGTTCCAAACCACAGCACCAGAATGAATATAATGACTGGAACCAAACCTGGAGTTTGTTTAAGTTGTCAGAAGAGAGAGAAAAAGTCTTTGCAACGTACAATTCTCTATAATGACTTCACTTCATATCATTTCATTTCATTTCATGGGTGGCGAAGTTCTAAATATTTCATCTGGGAACTGTTACAGTCCCCCTTGTTCCCATTAATCAACCTTGTAGGCTGTGAGATGTTCTTCATAGCTTACATTTAATTGTCAGTAGAGCATCCAGCTGCTCTCACAGTGTTTGCACGTTTGTCTCCAACATTTTCTGTTCAGTTTTCGGGCCAGTATCTCATCATTGCTGCATTCTGCTTTTCAGGTTACATTTATGTTGCTGGACCAAAACAACAGAGAGCACATTATTGATGCATTCCGCCCAGACTTGGCTTCTGCTTCCTTTCAGAGACCTGTGCACGACATGAATGTTGCCAGCGGCTGTCCCACCTTCCTCCCTCTGACCAAACTGCAGTCCCCAAAGCACGCCTATGTGAAAGAAGATACACTTTTCCTTAAATGCATCATAGATACAAATTAGTAACTTCTGAAACGTCAGTGTCTGGTAAATCACCCACTGCAATTCATTTGTTTGCAAGAAAAGAAACATCAGTTTGAGGCATTGCATTGGTCTGGAGAGCTGGGCCTGCATTCCCCTGCACTGGCTGGGACCAGCTGGGTCTGCCTGCTCGCTGTGGTTGCTGCTGGTGTGCAAACACATTGCCCACACAGAGCATGCTATTGCACGTGGGGGCTGTGATTATGTCACTGTCCAGCCCAAACTCTGCTTTAGATGTAGATCACAGCTGCTCCCCTTTGCATGCACAGGTGGGTCGAGGGGAGCTCCTTCCCCACATTGCCCAGGTGTGCTGTTCTGGCAGGGCACCCTGGGGCTGAGGGCGGTGTGCTGCAGGGCTGCAGGGCTCTGCACACCCTTGGGAGCAGCAAGGAGTGCTGCTTCCTCTCCCACCATTCCCAGGTTTGATGTACTTGTTGTGCTGCCTGCACTGTGGGACTTGTGCTGCTCCCCAGCAGGGATTGGGCAGGTCCCCTCCCATAGGCTCTGGGTGGGTGTCTGTGCTTTTTGAGGACCCTGAAAGCTGTGAGCTGTGGGTAGCACTGGCAGCTTCAAATCCTTATACTGGATGATTTATTTCTTGCTATTTATGTACCTGTATTTATGTGCTCTGTACGGAGATGCTCTGCTGCATTAGGAATGAAACCAGGTTACACTGTGCCTGGGGAAAGTTGCCTCTGGTGTTTCCAAAAGTGGCACTCTGACTTTCCCACCTCAGCTGTGGGGGTTAACAGCAGGCAGGGCCAGGCTGGCAGCTCAGCAGTGGGAAGGAGCCCTGGGGGGCTTAAAGTGCTCCCTCACTTCTGAAGCTTTGAGGCAAGCGACTTATTAGGAAATATTGATCTTTTATGTGCTTCACATGCTAACATAGAAGTACCTGCTAGAAATGTTTTTCTTTAAGAGGCGAGGAATGAATAAAAGTTATTTTTACAATCAAGTTAAACTTGGAAATGGTTGGATGTATGTGAAATTCAAACGCTGGACTTTATCCCCCAAAAAGCACTAAAGCTGGTGCTCTCCATTTGCTGCTTCAGAACCTGTTGGTGGATCAGTGCAGCTGGGCTGGGTTTGGCTGCAGCAGTTGCTGGTCCATGCCTGGTCAATGCCTGCAGTGCAGCTGCTGCTCCTGGCCTGCAAGGCATTCTGCAGGATGGGTGCAGGCGTAGGATGCAGACCCAAGGCCTGATCTTGCAGACAGAGGCAGGTGTTTATTTATGATTGAAAATCTTTTATGTAACTATGTTCCTTTTTTCCTCTGCAATATTTCCCAAGAATCACTTGAAAAAGCAAAACTGGCAGAATTGTTATACTCACTGCATGAGAAGGGAAAGGGGAAGCTGTCCATTGAACAACCAAGGAACAGCAGCTGCCTCAGAGCTGCTGCATGCCCTGTGCTGCGTGCTCCCCCCAGACCTATGGGCACATTTTCCAAAACTCTCCCTTCTATCTCAGCAGTGCCCTTTTCATAGAATCATTGGGTTGGAAGGGATCTCAAGGATGATGAATCTCCAGCCCCCCTCTCACATGCAGGGCCACCGACCTTCACATCTCATAGCAGACTGGGCTGCCCAGGGTCCCATCCAACCTGGCCTTGAACACCTCCAGGGACAGAGCATCCTCATTTTACACAACGAGTTGTGATGAAGTGCCACATTTCAAAAAAAAAAAAAGCCAACAAACCCACTTCATCAACAAATATCTGTCATGGGTTGTTTGGGGAGGAGCTGAGTGTTCTTTGCCATCACACACGCACACTCACTGTCATTTTTCTCTCATGTTTAAGACATTTTTCAGGGACAGAAAGTTATTTTTCCAGCACTGTGCCAGACCTTCCGCCCACACTGCAGTAATGTGCCTAAAAATATTTTCCTTTTCATGGCTGTGTAATTCTGACAAGTGCTGTATTTATTCTAATCATTCATATTTTCTTACCGTCTCGTTTATTCCCCAAATAAAGCTCACGAACATAAAAGAAGGTTTGTGTATCATTTTAACTGCAGAAGAGGGAACTGAGCAACCCGGGGATGTGATACAGCAGCTTGCAGAGGGAATTGCTGAGCCGTGCTGCAAACCCCACTTGTTGCTGTGAGGCAGCGGTGGGCTGAGCTCTGACAGCAGTGGGTGCTGCCTTGGGGAGGGTGGGAGGGTGGGGGTCTGCATCCTTGCTCTGCTTCAGGCTTGTTTGCAGAACACACCTCTGTATGGAGCTGCTGTCTCGTAGCAGAAAGGGAAGGGCTGTCCTTGGGTGTGAGAAGGCTGGGGAAAGAGAAAGTGTGTGGGAGAGCTGCAAACGCATTGGTGCAGAGCGCTGTGTGTCTGCGTGCACGTTTGTGCTGCTGGTGCAATTAATGGAGGAGTCCAATCAGAGCTCGTTGTGCATGGAGCAGCAAGGGGCCCTCGAAGAGCACAGCAGGGCTCATGGCTGCTGCTCCCTGATTGCAGCCTGGGGCTGTGAGAGCCCTGTGGGAGGGAAGGGCCCTGGGCTGTGCTGCCATCACGGCCTCACACCACTCTTCATGTGTTCCATTTCTTCTTTCTTTTTTCTTAATTTTTATGCTGGGGTGTCTTTGCTGAGCCGAGCTCAGGAACTGCAGACGTGTACATAACGTATCTGTGTCAAAGTTATGTAACCACTCCATTAGTATAAACCTTGCCCAGCTGCAGAAACACTTACAAGCTCCTCGCCTCTTATGCAATTGCATGGGAGCACACAAAGCTAAGCTTAAAAAAAAAAAAGGACATGGATTAAGTTCATAGTAAGTAAATAAAAGACACAAAACCCAATGCCTTGATGCTCTTCCTCTTAAAGGCACAGCTGGCACGGAGCAGCTGGATGTCAGATGCCACCACCCCTCATCACAGCCACATGCCTCAGTAGCCCCGTGCACAGCTGCTGGGAGCACAGCTTGCCCGTGCTGGCTGAGCAGTTGGCTCTGGGGGAAGGACACTGAGTGTGTGGGGCTGCAGGAAGCACTGAGCAAGGTGAGGTGTGCCAGCAGCCAAATGCAACTCGTTGTGGCTGCTCCCATCTGCACAAGTGCGTGCTATGGTGCTATTCACCTGGCTGGGCGGAGGTGGCACTGGGGTGGTTGGAGGCATGGAGCCTGGTGATCTGTGTGTGTTGCAGTGCACATCCTCACTGCACGTCGTACCTCCAGGCCCGGCAGTGCTGTGGTGCAGCCTCGTGTTTGGGCTTCCATTCAATATTCCTTGCCTCTGGTTATGAGCCAACACAAAACCCCTCCTCCCATTCCTGTTTGCAAAGGAGATAAAATGTGGGGAAAAACCACCGCCATCAGAGCTGCGCTCAGAGCACCATTGGAAGGACAGCGTGGGAGCCCTCAGCATCCCTGCTCCATGGGCACAGGGTGTGGGGAGAGGCCTTGGGGACAGCGTGGGGCTGTGGGACAACGTGCCACCAAGGTTTTGTGCAAATCATTCTGTAGGGACTGCATTGGAAATGCAACGACAGTGAAGGATCTCCATGGTGAGGAGGTCAGCGTTGTTCAAACGAGCCCAGAGGGCACTGCCACTGTGGGGTGCCCCGGTTGGTGATGTTGTCCCCTCTCATTAAAAGGGTTTGGGCATCTCTCAGTGCCTGGCTGACCTCTCCCATCACCCACACTTCCATGGCCAACGACCCGGGTGCTGCACACACAACCACAATGGTTGAGGAGGTTCGGGGAGAGCACTGCTGTCCCAGCATCGCAGCCTCACACCCAGACCGGCTGCCTGTGGGCCCGAGCACAGCTGCAAAGTGCAGGGACACGAGCAGCAGTGTTTGCCCACAGGCGAAATTCTGGTGCAGGAGTTATTTTAATCCCGTGGTGACTCACGGCTGCACACTGTGACTCACTGCAGGGCTCAGCCGTGGGGCGCCTGGAAGATGTGTCAGGTTCTCTGTGCAGGATAGGGCTGCAGGCAGCGGGAAGGAGCTGCCAGTTTTTGGCTGCTTATGGTAAACATGGCCTGGCCTTGGGGAACTGGGAGGAAGCACAGCATGGCTTAGCATAGCATGGCATGGCATGGCATGGCACGGTGCTGCATGGTCTCTGACCCCTACAAGGACAACCCAAGACTATCTGGACCACTCTTTGGATTATCCGGACCATTTCTGGATCTCAGGAAATCCCATGCAGGGTTTTGGGAGCTGTGCTGCAGATGCTGCATTTGTTGCTGGCACGGCTGCTGGAGCGCTCCCATCCAGAATCTCTGAAATGCAATGAATCACCCCAAAATGCAATGAATCACCCTGAAACCCGCACTTTGCCCTCCCCGCTCTCACTCCACGCATAGGCAGTTGGCGGCCGCAGCGCCGGCGGCCCCACGTGTTTCTGAGCCCGTGCGGAGCCGCCCGCGGCACAACGCGATGCCAGCGGTTCTGGGAGGCTCCGGTTTGCAAAAAGAAACGACGACAAAACTCCTCCGAAGAGAACAGAATTCCGCAGCCGTCTTCGAGAGGTGACTTTAGCACCGATGCGCCGGGAGCGGCTCTTCGTGCGCTGCTTCCACGCAGGTGCGCGACGAACGGCGGTGCGCGGAAGCCCTGCGCGGGGCGGCGGAACGCGCACGGAGCGCCTCGCTCCGAACCCGGCGGATTCGCCGCCGCCCGATCGGGCCTGGAAACGTTTCTTTTTTTTTTTTTTGGCAGCGCTCTCTCGCAAATAGCAAACCCTGCAGCCTCCGTCTCGGCACCGACGGATTTGTTTCGGTTTTCTTTTTTTTTCTGCTTGGATTCGGAGAAAAACGACCCCCGGTTCCCGGAATCCCGGCGGGCGGCAGCACGGGCCGTTCCCTGGCGCGGGGCCGGGTGGCGTCTGGGGCACCCCGGGATGCTCCGCGCCGCGCCGCTCGGAGCTCCGGGAGGCGGCCCCGCGCTAATTGCATAAGCGGGACGTCAATGCCCGCGGGAAGCGCGGGAAGATGGCGCCCCGCGCCCTGCCCCCGCCGCGCGCCGCCGCGCCCCGCCGCTGCCCCGGCGGCCCCCGAGCGGGCGGGCGCTGAGCCGAGCCCGGCGGCGGCGGCATAGCGGCGGAGGAGCGGCGCCGAGCGGTGAGGGCGGCGCGGAGCGGAGCGGCGGAAGGCGGCCGGGGCGGCGGGGCCGGGCGGGACGGGGCGGGACGGTCCGGCGCCACAGCGCCTATGAATGAACCAATGGCGGAGGGTCTCGCGGCTGCGGGGCCGCCCGCGGAGCTCCCGCCCGGCAGGTGCCGTCGCTCCCGGTGCCGGCGGGGTCCCGGAGCGGCGCTGCGCAGTTCCCGGAGCGGTCCCGGCAGCGGCGCGTGGCTGCGCCCGCCGCGGTGTTCGGAACCTCTCGGAGCAGCGGCGCTGAGCTCCGTGCGGTGACTCGCGGCCGCCGCCGCTGTGCGGCTCTGCCCGGAGCGTTCGGCTCCGTCCGGAGGCACCGCGCTGCCTCCAGTCGGGCGGCGGCCCCGCGGGGCTCGTCCCGGGCGGCGCGGCGCTCGGATCGCTTCGACCGGCAGCGCTGCGATCCGCGGTGTGAGGGCCCCGCACGGAGCCCCGAGGGGGGAAAGTGACATCGGGGCGGTGCTGCCGGCAGTCGGGGCTCTGTCCCGCGCTCGGAACCCTCGGCGTCTGCGAAACGCGGCCGCTCGGTTTTATCCGCTGCTGCCCGCGCTGCTCCCCGCTCCCCCAGCGGTCCCGTTGGCAAAAGTGCAGAAGGAAATTGTCGACTTCGCGTTCGATTTAAAGCTGCCGATGCTGAGAGCGTCCGGGCGAACCCCGCGCTTACGGAGCGGGCGCCTCGCTCGGCCCGCGGGCACATCGCGCCGCTGCTGATGGGAGATCGCCTCCGTCCCCGCAGGCTCTGCTCATGGAGAACGGGACGCTGAACTCCATCACCCGGGATGTGCACGGGGCTGCCGGGCGCAGGGGCGGCAGCTGCAGGGAGCTGAGCGAGGGGCAGTACGTGCTGTGCCGCTG